AAAATAAAATATTTAGGTGGCGACTCTGTATCTGGCAAAGCAGTCCATGTTTGGCACTTCTTTCAAAATCTGTTTTCTCAAAACGATTTGCCGGATTTGGACTCTTTGGTTCAGATTAAGAACCATGACAATTTGAGTCCGAACTGTAGTGAACCCCAATACAAACAGAACGGGACCTCATCCTCCCGGGGCGTTCGGCGACGTCTACAGTTTCTGGTGACTCCGCTGGGGATCTTTTGAGAACTTGACTCGAACTCATGATATCTGTTTTTTACTGCACTTATGTGTTTCTTTGCATTGCATGTGCATTGGTGCGCCTAGGACACCGTGTTTGCCATCTGCTATTCGTGAACGGTTTGCCGAAGGCTTGTCTTGTCAAGGCATGACCATAAGGCTGACTGATTATGGGCTCCGCCAGTATGGGAACATAAACCCCGATTTTACCGGGGCACCCTTTTCGACCATTCGACCTAGTGCATATTCGAATCCATAGTGACCATTCCAAACTAGGATAGGTTGCTTACCCGATATAGGTTGTTTGAAACCGCTGCGTGCATAGTGAAACCCTAGCTCCTGACAAAATAGGACAGGGAAACCCTCTCCCAACATAGGGGTGTTTTGGCTCTCAATTATCTGTTATGTGCTGTCAAAGTGTGTTTCTACAGGGGTTGCATGTATCAGTTTGCGAGTTTGGGGCATCAGGCCTGCGGGCATCAGTCAGTGTTTCAAAATCAGTTATCTGCGGGTACCGGATTCAGTTTTTGGGGGCAGTGATTCAGGGATAACGATCAGTGTTTGAGGACAGTGTGTACTCAGCTTGTCGACCGTGTGTTGTTATGCCCGGCTGTGTGTTGTGTATTTATTTTAAGCTATGATGCTGTCCATTTATCTGGTTATTTATTTCCTTATTGCTTTATTTATCCTTTTGCTAGGGAGGGTAGTTTAGCACAATTGCTTCAAACCAAGCAGATATTTCCTAAGCACTCTGGACTAGAGGTCGCCGACTCAATCGATCCGAGGATCTGGTTGACGGACAACCAGTGTTCCACTCTCTACCCCCGGTTATCAGGCAAAGACCAAGGAAACGCAGTGTATCCGAGCAGAGGTTACCAGAGTAGTGGATTACCCCATCAGTGGACAGTCTGCTTTCCTAGATTAATTTGTTAATTAATTAGGATTCTGTATTTATTCGGGACTGTATTATTTATTCAGGACAGGAGTTGAGGAAATGATGCGTCAGATGCAAGAGACCATGAGAGCCATGCAGCAGGACGCTGTTCGCCGGGATGTGTTTGCCAAACAATAGGCCGAGATCATGGCCCAGCAAGCAGAATTAATTGCCAGGCTGCAACAATAAACCGGAGCATCTACTTCGCACCCGGTTCCTCCCCCACTGGGAATCCCAGCACCCGAGGAGGCACTAAATGTCCAGGCAGATACGGACATACCAACGGGGCCAGCTCCGTCCCCAATTTTGCCCCAACTATCTAAGGCACTGTAGACACCCCATTTTTGACCGACCTTGAGACTCAGACGTCACCAGTTGAGCACTTGGTGATATTGCATGTTGTGCTTGTTTAGAAGTCTCAGAGTCGCGGCTGCGAGCCCTGCCTCCGGACTTCCGAACCCTCTTTTGTGCCTTGCCTCGGTTTGCGAACCAGACTCGGTTTTCTCTGTTTCTTTTCCTGAGGGGAAGGAGAGGTCCCGTAGACCATCTCTCAATGTCCGTAGGCTACATTTCGTGGCCGTAGGCCATTTTGCCCATTTCGGAACCCGGTTTCCGGTTTCTCGGGATCGTCAGGCCGTGTGCCTCGGTTCGGGACCGCTTAACCATCTCCGTTTGCTATAAATTTTAGCATACATCTTATTTAATCCCTTTTGAGGGACACTGGGATCTGAGAAACCCACTTCGAGGTCGAATACCATTTTCGGTGTTTAACGGGCAGTTTCCGGGGCCCCGAACTGCGTGTTTTGGCCCCCGAACATTCGTTTTGCATCGGTTTTCATTCGTTTTTGGCAGGTACCTCTGTTTCATCACTAGGAAGGTCATGGAAAGGTGGGAGGCCAGCAATTGTTTCAACAACCAGTTTTTACTCCTCCGGCGCCCTCCGACACCCGTTTTTCGCACTTCCGGGCCAATGTTGAACACCTTGGAGCCATTTTCTTCAAACCCAAACCACATATTTGTGATGTACACACATGGGAGGACCCTAAAAGTTCATGGCCGGCCACTAATGTTCTACATACTTTGCCTTCTATCTGATGGTCCTCAAAACCAGGGGGAATGTCCATATATACCTGGCTTCAGGTCACCATGGAGAAAGGCATTCTTTACATCAAACTGATGAAGTGGCCAATCTAGATTAGTTACTAAAGAGAGAAGCACTCTGACTGAATTTATCTTAGCCATGGGTGCAAAAGGTCTCTTGATAGTTAAGCCCATACATCTGAGTGAACCCTTTTGCCAAAGTTTAGCCTTGTAACGCTCATATAAAACCATCCGTTTTGTGTTTCACAGTATACACCCATTTGCATCCCACAGGTCGTTTGCTCTTAGGTAAACTCAGTCAATTCCCAAATACCATTCTTCCTTAAGTGCTTTTATTTCCTCAATCATGGCAAGTTTCCACTCAGAGGTAGCAAGAGCATCCTGAAAATGGTTAGGAATGCTTAACAGAGGAAATATTGGACACCAAACGCTTTATATGAGGATGACAAATGAGAGTAGGACACAAAATTTGAGATAGGTTGTTGAGAACAAGACCTCACACCCTTTTCTTGGCAATCGAACATCAAGATTAATGGACTCAAGAGATTTAAAGTTACCTGGATTCTTATCAAAAGCAAGAGATGACAGTGGAGGAGCAGAAGTGGTCTCTTGTATCCAGTTAATTTTTCTATCTGTTTTTGTTCCTGACATAAACTTGCCATTCCCTATCCTTGGTAATATTGGTTTCTGAAATCCCAAGTATGCGATGGTGATGCAAGAACAACAAGTTCCACCATAGGAATCACATGAATCACTCATACCAAGGCTCCCCCTGAATAGAGAGCTGTAAACCGGAAATTGACAAGAAATAGGACTATGACTCAAAGAATGTGACATCCATGCACAAAACCACTTACGACAAGGAGGGTGATAACACTTAAACCCTTTTTGAGTAGAAGAGTACCCAAGGAAAACACATTTAAGTGAGCGAGGTCCAACTTACCACGAGTAGGAGAGTGTTATGGCAAAACAGACACAACCAAATATTTTAGGAGGAATAGAAAACAAGGACTGGGAACCTAGGAGGACTTGGAGAGGAGCTTGTTTTTGCAAGACCTGAGTAGGAAAGACGATTTATAAGATGGACAGCGATGAGAACATCGTCGCCCCAGTAGGACCGAGGCACAGTCATAGAAACACATGCACCGAGCCATGTCAAGAAGATGACGATTCTTGCGTTTGCCACCCATTTTGTTGAGGGGTATTGGTGCAAGAGGTCTGATGGATAATGCCATGAGTAGAAAAATATTGTCCTACCCAGAATTTATGTACACCCTCATTATCAGAACGAAATATTTGGCATGGCCCCAAACTAAGTACAAATCATCTTATGAAATTGCGGAACACAGAGAAAAACTCACTCTTGTCTTTCATGAGATACACCAAGTAGTACGAGAAAAATCATCAA